CAAGTTTCAGGCTTGAAGCAGAAGTCAGTTTTTTGGGTTGGGCAAGTCGGATGGAGGTGCCGCAGCTGAAGTCGGTAGAAGCTCTGAGCGTGTTGCTCGTGGCTGAATGTCATGTAGTTTATTGTTCAGGAGGTGTTTCCTCGCAATCTGTAGATCCCAACCTGTCTTTTGATTTGGAGATCTTTGCGATGATTCTTGCCCACAGCATGCTGATCCCCGCTTGGGTGGCTATTACAGCAAGCTGCCGCACGGTACCGAGTTTTCAGGAAGCCCAGCTCTAAACAGGGTGAGGGTCGAAATCGTTCCCCAGCGCCCAACCAGCCCCCGAGCTGTCAAGGAATCACGACAGCATCCTGCTGGAGGTGGCGGGAAGAGCTTGTGGATGCTTTCTACCTTTCTCTGACTAGAGCTGATCCATTCCACATGCGCACGCTTTTAGGTGTCTGTTGAGCCGTACCATGCACTTCGTTCGGGACTGGAAGCTAGCCGGGCCCCCCGGGCTTTGTCACGCTGCTGGGTTCGAAGGAGACGAGTCGGGAACCAGTTTTAAGGCAGTTCTCTGGCTCTGCCTAAGTCCCAGGCTTGCGGCTTGCCCCCCAACGGGGCTCGGCTGCCACAACCACCAAGCCTTCGAACATTTGTTCAGCAATATGGGGCCCATATTGGTGCCATGGTGAGGTCCCTATGTAAGAGTACAATCTTACGGGCGGAGCCTGTATAGCTCTGAGGCCAGTATCACCTGCTAGTGCCTTCACACGATCGATGGCAGTAGCGGAACCAGCACACCGCGCAAGGAGAGCCAGAGACACAAACACACACACACACACACGCACAAACCAGTTGGAATGAAGAGTTTCCACCTGTACCATACCGGTCTCGTTGAAGCGGGATGCGGAACCCTGCTACGGGAGCTTCAGTGAACCAAAATAGTGTCCCTTACGGTCTTCCCTTCGTGTTGCTTTGCACGCGCAGAGGCGTCCTATCAGGTTCGTGTCAGTTTTGGAGATTGACCGCTGCAGTGGCTGAACGCGGCCAGGTGGAGGACCGGCAGTTCTTGGTGACTGTCCTAGGCCGATGGAGTCGTCTCATCCAAGTCATGGACTTGGAAACAGGCACGGAGTGTCCCATGCACCAACCATCCCCACACAAGCATATGCCTCAGAAGGACGAACGTTTCAAGAAAAGTTCGATAGGGCCTTTACTCGGGAAGACAGAGCTGGGAGAACGCGCTGTAGCCCCTGAGGGTCGAGGGTCGTGGGAATTCGCTGCGCAGGTTTACAGTGGTCGAAGCAGACTGAGAGTGACGACCCAGAAGGCGATCCCCTTAACAACCTGAACCATGTCTACACAGTGCTGGTTGACAAGCTGGATGGTGGTGGCAAGGAGGTGTGGCTCCCCTGCGGCTTTCGAGGCGGTGACATCCCCTCAAACCCTTTACAGGTAGGAAACCACTGGGACATACTGGGACTTCCAGTCTCAAAAGCTTCAAAGGGACTGAGCATGTGAAGCCCTGCACAGGCGATGTGGTCGACAAGGAGTTCTCCATCAAGTACATGCGCATCTTAGACTTGGAGACGCTCGAACTGCGAACTGGCCCAAAGCTTCCGTTCGCCGGCGGAGCCTGTACAGCTGTGGCTCTGGAGATAATTCCGGGCGAGCCTCCCATGATTTGCAGCTTCGGTGGAACGAACGGCCATCATAATTCAGGCATTTTCCAGCCTTATGCTACATGTTACGACCGCCTGCGGGAACGATTCTGGTTCCCTTTTGGCAAGATGCCATACGGCATGGATCATGGCAGCATCGCGGTGACTCCAACTGGTCTATGTGGTGACCAGCGACGGACTGTGATCATCCTCAACTACCGCATAGCTCCCCTTTGGACTTTGGAAACTTTCATTGCAGATGCAATTGGCGACTGCCTTCCGAGTACTTGCGAGTAAGCTCGAGTACGCGCGCATACGCTCGAGTACGCTCGAGTACGCTCGAGTACTCGCACATACGAGTACGCTGGAGTACGCCCGAGTACGATTCACTAGCTTAAAACAACAACATGTAGAATATATGTTAGTTGGTGTACTACTTATAAACTAAGTTATGATCTATAACGGAACTTCGAAACTATAGCAAAATAGAGACTAACGTATAACTTATCATATACACCGTTAATGGAGTAAAGTACGATACAATACATAACATAGAGTATATCACATATGATATGCTCTATGAACCATGAGGTATATGGTATAATATCTAATTTCTGATGTACCATATGCATTATCGAACAGGGCCTACATCAATATAACAAAGTACACCGCGACATAGTAAATTCAAAATACATGAAATACAGTATATTTAGTGTTTAACGCTTTTCTGAAAATTTCACATATATAACATATACTGGACAACATAGAAATATAATCCGTAGTTATCGAATATACAACATGTATAGTAAGATGTATAGCATTTAGGAAGTAATTTATATTACATACTATACAATGTATAGATAGATATATATATATATATACCACGTGAAATATATATATATATATATATATATTTGTACATACTTATATATATATATATATGTGTGTGTGTGTGTTTTACAATATGCAACATAAAGAATAGCAATTAACATGAAATACTTGTTATGAACTATACTCGCGCATATACTCGCGTACCCACGCATACCCGCGCATACTCGCGCATTCCCGCGCATACTCGCGCATACTCTCGCATACCCGCGCATACTCGTGCAAACTCGCGCATACTCGCGCATACCCGCGCATACCCACGCATACCCGCGCATACTCCATGTACTCGCGCATACCCGCACATACTCGCGCATACCCGCGCATACTCGCGTATACTCGCATATACCCGGGGCTATCCGGGACCACGATCGGCAGTCGCGCTTTCCCGCCACAGTGCTTTCTCTACAGTGCGGTTCATCCTTCTTGCTTCGGGATGGCGAATACCATTGTTGTCTTCGCCTAGCCGAAGAAAAGTAAGGTTCCTTATGGGAGCCAGCGGCCAGAAATGCTCGCTCACGATCTGCCAGAAAGTGGGTGGACGGCGGAAGGGCTGAGTCAGGCATCCATGGAGGAGCCAGGACATTCGGGATCACCTAGCAGTACGCCCAGTGCCCTTTTTTCGTAGATTCGCCCAGGGATTCTATGTAAGGATTTGCATGCGGAGAAGCTACTGACTACTTTACTACTTAGCAACCGTCTCACTTCTAAAGTTTATCATTAGGTACAGTGGGCAGCTGCGTCTTCGGATGACTTCTTTCCACATCCTGCTTCTCTTGTCTCGCAGAACTACTTAAACATCGGAAGACACATGGTATAGTTGCACACAGAGACCTCGTGTGGCGGAGTCCGAGTTGGGAAAGCGTAAACATCGGAACACTTCAACTATAGGAACCATTACAGTTGCAGCCGCATTATGACTTGGCTCACTGCACTTCATGCACCTCTTCTTAGTGCAGCTCTATACTTGGGGTATAAGGCCAGCTGGACAGGAAAGTGGTACCTCTACCACAATGTGTCCTTCACCAAAGCTGATCCTTGTACTTCTCCTCGGGACGCCAGCGGGCTGGCCACTGCCAACGGCGGCCGGTTCCTGCTAAACTTTGGTGGAATATTTTACACGCCACTCAACAGCCAAGCGGATGTGCTCGATTTCGTTTTGGAAGAGTAGCCTTAGATTTTGCAGGAGTTTGCCCAAAGTCTCGCATTGGACCAACGAAGGGGGCAGCTAAGGCACGACAAACATGGACGCCCGGTCGGACACCGCTTCAGCGTCATCCGTAGCTTCGATGTTTGCGAGAACTTTGGGTTAAAATGGCACGGGAGTTGTTTGAATGGTTCGAGGTTCTGTTCCCAAATTCTGTCACCACAAGCCTTAGCTCGACTCTTGAAAACCTGCAACTCAAGGAAGCGCTGGACAATTGAGGGAGACCTCGGGATGGATACGTTCGCATTGCAGACTGCGGCCAGCCAGAAGCTTCAACTTGCAGTGACCTGCGGGGGCGAGTCGGTGGAGAGGCCCCATGCTACAAAACGATTAGGTTAGGATTGAATGACTTATTCGGAAGGCTTAAACTTGAAGCCTTAAAGGCTCAAGAGCAAGCCGGAGTTCTGCCCTGAGATCCCGTTGGAAACCCAGAAGCACTTTAATTTGATTTTTCTACACAAAGGTCTCTAGCTGCGGTGAGAGTATTCGCCGTCAGTGACAGGAAAGCTGAAGGCTAGCACCTCTTGGATCTGAGCTAGGCAACCTCAGCTTGAAGCTCCAAACCCGACGAATTTGCCACACAGGTCTTTGAATCGAAACGGAAATCAGCCGTGGTGCATTGTTCACCGTCCGCGACACGGCCTAGAATTGGCCAATCGTCATGGCGATGCCGCCACCCACAAGTTCCCACGAGGGTTCGTACCCGGAGCAGAGCAGCTGAGAGCAAGATTGAAGCAGAAGGTGGGCAAGACTTAGTAGCCTTACATCGCCGCTACTCGCAGACAGACCTAGAGCCTGGTGTCACAAAACCTGCCGCACTGCGCTATGCCGCTCCCGTTTGCTTCTGAGGTAATTGGGAGAGTGACAGATGACATAGGTAACGTGGAATGAATGACTCTTCTCAAGCATTTAGCGGTACTTCTCTAGTTCACGCGGACTAAGTCGGAGCGTGCCATTGCTGTGGTGTTGATACCGGCCATGGAAGTTCTATAGATTTGATCTGCGCGGGGTTATTATAGGTATGTTGCTCATGGGCTCCTGCTGGTGTCTCCGAGCGCCGAAATCACTTTGCCCGAGAATCAGTGCTGCACCTCAAACCCGGCCACCCTACGTCTTACAATGACTTCAACCCTATACGTCAAACCCTGAACCCATAGGTCTTGGCACAGCCCTATGTGCATGCAACCCCTGCTTGACCCGAAGCTCCCAATAACACGCTCTAGTCTATCCCTGTGCCCAAAACCAACCTTGGCACGAAAGTCTGAAAGCACTACGGGTTTTGGGATTTTGCTCTGAACCCAAATCCTCAAAGCCTCGCCTCGTGAGCTGTAGAATTTCCGGACAGTAGGGTTTCTTGAAGCCATAAACAAACGGAAAAGCCAAAACCCTATCCTAGAAAGCTCGAAAACTTGAATAATAAGCCCTACAGTTCCAGCCCAAATCACTCCTTTAGTAGAACCTTAACACGAACAGCAGTCCGATAGGCCCGGCACGGGCCCCTGACCGAAAGACAAGGCGTTTCCCCCAGAGTTTAAGTGAAGTAAATTGACAGTGTTCGCCCCCG